GATGAAATGACGTTAATGAGGCACCTAATTGCTGACAACTAATTTCATCTAGAATCTACAACCAATACAATGTTCAATTCCCAGACCATTGATCCTTTCTCCATTTCTAAAAACTTATTCCCCAAAAACTCAATTTTCCGATAAATTAATCGACATTTCGTCACTCTGACCGTAAAATTATTCATTTCCCACATTAAAAAATTAACGGTAGATAAAAGTGCTTTAATCACACGCCCAATTACCTCCCAAATAATTAATGATTAATGTATCCAACACTGACGGACGAATAAAAACCGAAGGAACCTCTACTTTTTATCAGACAAATAAAAAGTGATTCAGTAAATTTTCTCCTGAAAGAATTATTGAAGCTCAATGACTAATAAACCAATTACCGATAATGATTGACTTGGCAAAGTGCTCTCAATTATAGCCTTGAGCGCTCGAGTTTAACGACCGTAGATCTTTCATGATGCCTTTGTGTGTATGTGTCTTCATAAATTATTCATAACATCGTTCATGAGGTAGGGCGGGCAGGGGGGGGGGAGAGGGGGCAACAGCCACACACCCCACGTGTGTTGGTACATTCCGCCAGATATTACCTTCAAATCGTCCATCACTGCCAGTGAAAATAAAAAAAAAGGGAAATTTAATCTCAACAGTTTAATACCAAATTTAATGAAACAAAATTCTTGGGGGTGTTCTGTGAATAAAAAATGACTCGACTGGAGTTTTCATAAATTTCAAGTAAATGGGGATTAATGCCACGTGCAGACACAATGATTGTTTAATGAATCGTGTGGTTCAGTCGGTTGGATAATTCGGTCGATTTGCATGTAATAAGGCTCATTACAGTGAACATTCCGGGAATGGGATGAAGCGAGTTTTGCCTGTTAAAATCGAATCAACAATGGGATTCAAAGTTTTATCGGCACTCACCAATGACTCCATATCAAATATTCCGGTGGTTCGGGGGATGATGTGTAACGATGATCATACTGCGGTGATAGTCCATTGGATATTGTACTACTGATATGGTTTGAATAAATTAATTGGGATGGTAAATACTCGAGGAGTGATGACGATGAATTTAATTATGAGGAGGTGAT